TGTCACCTGTCCCTCCTTGTCACCTGTCCCTCCTTGTCACCTGTCCCTCCTTGTCACTTCGTCTCTTTGAGATGCTAACGCTGCTTCTTTCGAGCCAGCTTCCGCAGACAGGACATCTGAGACCTTTCACCCCTTGTGGGTGATGAACAATTTGAGATTTTGAATAATTTAAACCTTTCGCCTTGCTGGCGATGATATCTTTTTACCTCCGGTGCGAAATAGCTTGATAGCAGAAGCGCTAGCAAACCATTCTACCACTACTACTACTACGTGCTTGCGTAACTTGCCGAACTAAGCCGAACTTTCCTGACCTTGCCGAACTTTCCTGACCTTAGCCGAACTTAGCCGAACTTTCCTGACCTTAGCCGAACTTAGCCGAACTTTCCTGACCTTAGCCGAACTTAGTCTGTCGCTAGCCGAACTTAGCTGGCACAACTTTTCTGACCCAACATTGCCTGCCACATTTTGGTGACCCAATTTAGCAGACGCAACTAGCTAGCCAAAATTAGCTGTCAAAAAAGTTTCAGCAAACTTGGTTCACCGAAATTTGCCGTTGGCATTTGTGACGATGGCTTGACGCTGCTGGCGGCGTTCAGATTTGTTACGATGCAAGAGGAGCTTGTTTTATGTTATGTACTTGAGGGCCGCAGCCTTATCTTGATGACGGTGAACCCCTGGCACACTGCTGCTGTGGCTGCCAGCAGTGCTGCTGCTGTGGCTGCCGGCAGTGCTGCTGCTGTGGCTGCCAGCAGTGCTGCTGCTGTGGCTGCCAGCAGTGCTGCTGCTGTGGCTGCCAGCAGTGCTGCTGCTGTGGCTGCCAGCAGTGCTGCTGCTGTGGCTGCCAGCAGTACTGCTGCTGTGGCTGCCAGCAGTACAGTTTCGTTTTACCGCAAAATCAGGACAAAAGAAAGAGAAGTTAAAAATATGTTGCACCATTTGCGCGACTAAATTAGCGCGTCTCTGATTGGTCCTGCCTGGAACATGACGTCATCACCACAGACCAATCACTGCATTCCTGCTCATTACTTCAATTTGAGTCTTACAATAGCTATGAGTCATATAATGACTATGAGTCTAATAACAACTATGAGTCGTCCAATAACTATGAGTCTTATAATAACTATTTGTCTTATAATAACTATGAGTCTAATAATAACTATGAGTCTAATAATATTTATGAGTCTTATAATAACTATGAGTCTTATAATAACTATGAGTCTTTTAATAACTACGAGTCTAATAATATTTATGAGTCTTATAATAACTATGAGTCTTATAATAACTATGAGTCTTATAATAACTACGAGTCTTATAATAACTATGAGTCTTATTATAACTATGAGTCTTAAAATAACTACGAGTCTTATAATAACTATGAGTCTTATAATAACTATTAGTCTTACAATAACCTCACATGCATTTAATTTCATTGGTGTGAGCAATGGCCGAGATACTTGAATACTGGGTGCGAGGTCCGTGGACTTGTGGCCGAACTGATACCCTATCCTATAAAATTACTGAACAATTTGGAGACAAGCGCCGTCATTTGTTAAACATAAATTTCGGGAACCAGATTGTTGTATATTTTTAATATTTCTTAAATTCTTACTCGATAATTTGATTGGCCGTGTATGCTCTACTGAATTGATTGGACGTGTATTGGACTCGCTGAAAATTTTCCACTGAAGGTATCATGAATTTTACTGTCAATTAAATTGCTTTATAATTATTAATTAGCTCGAAATTTAAACCAACAAATTATACAAGAACTTGAGATGTTACATGCATGGCTTTACTGCGTTAAGATCACATTACAACACAAAAATTATTGGGCCCAAATAATTATAATAATAATTATAATTATAAATAATTAATAATAATATAATATTAATGATAATTGGGTCCAATAATTGTCCATATATAGACACGTTCTCTAATCCACATAAACAGCTGGGAGCGGACGTATCACTGAAACGATCTTATGCTCCTATAAACTGTGTCAAGATGACCCACTAGGACAAACAGTGCATGTCTATTTGCACTAATATTTAACTAAATTTAATAATATTTATTTAATATTTAACTAATAAATGCTGAATATATTTCTGTAATTATAAGTCTGCACAAAACATTGCCCGCCCTCGCCTGCCTCCCTCAGGCCGTCTCAAGGTCGCTGGGCTGCGTTGTTATAGCTCATAAATTAGACGTGATGAGAGTGGTGGTGAGTGGTGCAGTGAGTGGTGCAGTGAGTGGTGCAGTGAGTGGTGCAGTGAATGGTGCAGTGAGTGGTGCAGTGAGTGGTGCAGTGAGTGGAGCAGTGAGTGGTGCAGTGAGTGGTGCAGTGACTGGTGCAGTGAGTGGTGCACAGTGGTGCAGTGTGGTAAGTGGTGCTTGATTAATAGTGGTGCAGTGTGGTGAGTGGTGCAGTGTGGTGAGTGGTGCTTGATTAATAGTGGTGCAGTGTGGTGAGTGGTGCAGTGTGGTAAGTGGTGCTTCAATCTCCTGAAATTGTGATGTCTGGACGCTATTTTGAAGATAATTATATATAATACATTAACTTTTCCATTATTATTGAGGGGAGGGAGGAGGGGGTATGGTCTCCCCCTCTCCCCCTTTTGCCTGCACCCCCCCCCATTCTCCTCCCCGCATCACCTCCCGCCCCCCCATGCNCCTGGTGGAAGTGACCTCACACTTGATCCTTGGTGGAAGTCACCTCACCCTTGATCCCTGGTGGAAGTCACATCACCCTTGATCCTTGGTGGAAGTGACCTCACCCTTGATCCTTGGTGGAAGTCACCTCACCCTTGATCCCTGGTGGAAGTGTCCTCACCCTTGATCCCTGGTGGAAGTGTCCTCACCCTTGATCCCTGGTGAAAGTGTCCTCACCCTTGATCCCTGGTGGAAGTGACCTCACCCTTGATCCCTGGTGAAAGTGACATCACACTTGATCCTTGGTGGAAGTGACCTCACCCTTGATCCCTGGTGGAAGTGACCTCACCCTTGATCCCTGGTGGAAGTGACCTCACACTTGATCCTTGGTGGAAGTCACCTCACCCTTGATCCCTGGTGGAAGTCACATCACCCTTGATCCTTGGTGGAAGTGACCTCACCCTTGATCCTTGGTGGAAGTCACCTCACCCTTGATCCCTGGTGGAAGTGTCCTCACCCTTGATCCCTGGTGGAAGTGTCCTCACCCTTGATCCCTGGTGAAAGTGTCCTCACCCTTGATCCCTGGTGGAAGTGACCTCACCCTTGATCCCTGGTGAAAGTGACATCACACTTGATCCTTGGTGGAAGTGACCTCACCCTTGATCCCTGGTGGAAGTGACCTCACCCTTGATCCCTGGTGAAAGTGACATCACACTTGATCCCTGATGAAAGTGACCTCATCCTTGATCCCTGATGAAAGTGTCCTCATCCTTGATACCTGGTCTGGTGGAAGTGGCCCTCAATTGAACGTTTGAAAATTTTATCCAACGTGATTACATGCCCGATAAAAGGTTAAAGCGAAGGACCCAGAAAAGACTAACCCGATTTGACTTTCAGCCTCTATGCAGAATTATTTCAGCTTCAGGCACAGGCTTCAGCCTAATACACGTACTCGGTTCAGCCGTTGGTTGATAGTCAAAGATAAAATTCTTTCGATTTCGGCATTATTTTGGCAAAAACTGACATGCGGGCCAACACGTCGGTTGAATGATCGTTTGATGAAGTTTTATGTACCGAATAGTGCATAATTTTCTCTACAGATTAGTGCAGATTTTTAGGGACCGATTAGTGCCGACTTTTATTGTACCGATTAGTACCGACTTTTCGGTGCTGATTAGTGCAGACTTTTCTGTACAGATTAGTGTAGACTTCACTGTACAGGTTAAAGCAGACTTTTCTGTACAGATAAGTGCAGACTTTTCTGCGCCGATTAATGCGGACTTTTATGTAATGATTAGTGCAGACTTTTCTTTATAGATTAGTGCAGCCTTCTGTACTTTGGTAAGAAAAAGCAAATAGGCCACAACAAGATGGATGATCTAAATGTTGCCACACAGTAACTGGGATAAAAAAGAACATTGTCGTTTTGTGCTTGAGGACCAAAATAAGATTCATGTTATTAGGGTAGCAAATAACTTAATTTATTTGAAGCTACAAGTTACCAAGCTACAGATTAAGCCTCCCTCTCACTACAACCGAAGCAGAAAAAGTGACAGTTCATGTTACGAAAAGCATCAAAATCAGCATCAAAAACCACAACTTTTCGGCTAACTAAAATTCATAACGAACTGCGGCACCAGCAACTGCTAAACTATTAAAAACCTGCACTAACAACAACAAGGGCACAATAACATCAACAGCGCGAGGTCATCAATACGTGACCTGTGACGTCAGACCTGACGTGACCTCAGGTGCTGACGTCATCACCTCCTTCGAGGTAATCCTAAATGTTGAGAAATTTAGACCCCACACTCAGAGTGATGCGGCTGTCTGGGTCATTATGACACAGTTTGGCCAGGCAAAATGCCTACCTAACAGCAGATGGTGTACCTGTTCGTGCTAAGGTATTGTTGTTGTTGGCCTACCGTTGTTAATTGTGAATGCGGCTGTTGTTGCTGTTCGTAACACGAGCTGTTATTTCTGCTGCAGCTGTGCCTTGCTGCTGCTAGGCTGTGCTGCTGTGCTGCTAGGCTGTGCTGTGCTGCTGCTAGCCTGTGCTGTGCTGCTGCTAGGCTGTGCTTTGCTGCTGCTAGCCTGTGCTGTGCTGCTGCTATCCTGTGCTGTGCTGCTGCTAGGCTGTGCTGTGCTGCTGCTAGCCTGTGCTGTGCTGCTGCTAGCCTGTGCTGTGCTGCTGCTAGCCTGTGCTTTGCTGCTGCTAGCCTGTGCTTTGCTGCTGCTAGCCTGTGCTTTGCTGCTGCTAGCCTGTGCTGTGCTGCTGCTAGCCTGTGCTGTGCTGCTAGGCTGTGCTGTGCTGCTAGGCTGTGCTGTGCTGCTAGGCTGTGCTGTGCTGCTAGGCTGTGCTGTGCTGCTAGGCTGTGCTGTGCTGCTAGGCTGTGCTGTGCTGCTAGGCTGTGCTGTGCTGCTAGACTGTGCTGCTGTGCTGCTAGGCTGTGCTGTGCTGCTAGGCTGTGCTGCTGTGCTGCTAGGCTGTGCTGCTGTGCTGCTAGGCTGTGCTGCTGTGCTGCTAGGCTGTGCTGCTGTGCTGCTAGGCTGTGCTGCTAGGCTGTGCTGTGCTGCTAGGTGTGCTGTGCTGCTAGGCTGTGCTGCTGTGCTGTGCTGCTATGCTGCAAGGCTGTGCTTTGCTGTGCTGCTAGGCTGTGCTGCTAGGCTGTGCTTTGCTGTGCTGCTGTGCTGTGGTTCTAATGCTGACCTTGCCCCGCGGTCAGGGCTCAGAAGGAAAGGGGCTGCTGCCCTTAGCTCGAGAGGGCAGACCGAGGGGAGTTGAGGGGCAAGGAGGGGGAAAAGGTAGGGGTTGCTGGGGATGCATTTAGGGCAGTAGGTTGTAGAGGTAAAAACATGGAGCGGTGATGGGGAAATGAGAACAAGTTGGGTTTAAAAAATACTTCCAGATGCTCGTTTGTTATGCTGAATACATTGTACAATCGTAATTAACGGTATTTTCGTTGGGTATTTCCTACATTATTTTTCACTGAAGCCAAATATATAAATTTTCAGCAAATAACTTCTCACCCAAATTAGATTTTTCATAATATCTCGCCGAGGAGCCTTAGCCTACATGAGTGCGGAGGCGGTACATTATGCTGATAACCTGCTCTGGGTATCAGAATTGAACTTATAAACTCCTCCAGGTATCAGCATTATGTGCCCGAACCCTCCGAGGTAATGAATTTCCGAGCTCAGAAAGTAAATTTATCACGGTATAATTTGGTATAGTATAGCACGGTGTGTTATAGTATGGGATAGCATAGTATGGTATAGTATTGTAAAGTGTGGTATACTGTGGTATACTATAGCGCGGTATGGTATAGTAGAGAACGGTTGGGTATATAGTATGTCGGCGATGGCAATAAACCCTATTTGGCTTGTCTGTTCTTGGTTGCCGGTTCTTGTAAATTCGCGACCGGTTTCCAGGAGATCAGAACGCGGGCTTATCGACCGGATCTTTTCCAAACTGACTTTGAATTGAAATAGCTGCTGGACTTATTACAAGGTCCGTAGGGTGTTAGACATTTCATGTCTGTACAAATATTTCTACATATTTTTCTCTAGTCTGTTCTTGAACGCGTTTGTGAGACGTGAGAACTCTAGCAGCGGAACTCTAGCAGCGCGGTATGAGTCCCATAAGGTTTAACTCGTGCCAAACATTTGGTTGTACCAAACGCCCTATATTCCGGCAATGGCTTAATTGTAAGTCAGTGACCAGACTGTGCTAGCGTCTTACAATAGTTTTTCATGATGGGGAATGAAACGCGGTAGGATATATTATTTGAATCAAGCTTTGGAGGCCAGATTACATAAGCTATGACAGTTATGTAAATGAGTCTAACAAACTGAAATTTCTTAATAATATTTCTTCCATGGTCTGTGCTGATACTACGGATATGTTGCTAATTTATATCAAACAGTATTTAGATAACAGTTGGTACTTATTAATGCTAATGAATGAAATGTCGTGGACGAAAGTAGGAAGTTTGAGCTGACGGGTAACTGCGCAAAATTATGATAGGCTGGCAACAATCCTAGAAAATAAGTTGCGGGGGTAACTCGAAGAAACGTATCTACATGGTCGCTTCATGCTCATGGAGCGTCAACGATGTCATCAGGGAGGCTGTTCCACATGTCGGTGACTCGAAGCGAGAAGAAATGTTGTCGCGTGTATAAGTAGCACCGCAGTTTTTTTAGTTTATAGCCGTGGCCTCTGATGTTGGTTCTTGTTTCAAATTTTGGAAATGCCTACGGAGTCTTGTAAAAATCATGAGTACACTTGTTCACTCTAGTTTTTTTTATCATAAAACAGGTATTGAATCATTAGGCAATGATGATCTTAATGATATGCTGTTGATACTTCTATTATTTATACAACATATCTTGTGCAGGTCGCAACGGGCACGTGCTAACGGGCAGCAAGCACAGCGGTGAGTGAGGGAAGTAAGGGGAGCTTTGATGGTGAGTGAGGGGAGCTTTGGTGGTGAAAAAGGGGAGCTTTGGTGGTGAGTGAGGGAAGTGAGGAGAGCTTTGGTGGTAAGTGAGGGAAGTGAAGGGAGTTTTGGTGGTGAGCGAGGGAAGTGAGAGTAGCTTTGGTGGTGAGTGAGGGGAACGTTAGTGGTGAGTGAGGGAAGTGAGGGGAACGTTGATGGTGAGTGAGGGAAGTGAGGGGAACGTTGGTGGTGAATGAGGGAATTGATGACAGTTTCTGTCTTTCCGCAGGTCGGCGTCCGTCTAACTTGATTCTGTCCAACCTGGCTGCAGGTTCTGTCCTTTAAATGTTCATTACAAGTTATAGCTGCTGTATAAGTTATAGCTGCTGTATAAGTTATAGCTGCTGTATAAGTTATAACTGCTGTATAAGTTATAGCTGCTGTAAAAGTTATAGTGCTGTATAAGTTCCAACTGCAGTATAAGTTATAGCTGCTCTAGATGTTATAGCTGCTCAAGAAGTTATAGCTGCTCTAGAAGTTATAGCTGCTGTATAAGTTAAAGCTGCTGTATTAGTTATAGCTGCTCTATAGGTTATAGCTGATGTATAAGCTATAGCTGCTGTATAAGTTAAAGCTGCTGTATTAGTTATAGCTGCTCTATAGGTTATAGCTGATGTATAAGCTATAGCTGCTGTATAAGTTAAAGCTGCTGTATTAGTTATAGCTGCTCTATAGGTTATAGCTGATGTATAAGCTATAGCTGCTGTATAAGTTAAAGCTGCTGTATTAGTTATAGCTGCTCTATAGGTTATAGCTGATGTATAAGCTATAGCTGCTGTATAAGTTAAAGCTGCTGTATTAGTTATAGCTGCTCTATAGGTTATAGCTGATGTATAAGCTATAGCTGCTGTATAAGTTAAAGCTGCTGTATTAGTTATAGCTGCTCTATAGGTTATAGCTGATGTATAAGCTATAGCTGCTGTATAAGTTAAAGCTGCTGTATTAGTTATAGCTGCTCTATAGGTTATAGCTGATGTATAAGCTATAGCTGCTGTATAAGTTAAAGCTGCTGTATTAGTTATAGCTGCTCTATAGGTTATAGCTGATGTATAAGCTATAGCTGCTGTATAAGTTAAAGCTGCTGTATTAGTTATAGCTGCTCTATAGGTTATAGCTGATGTATAAGCTATAGCTGCTGTATAAGTTAAAGCTGCTGTATTAGTTATAGCTGCTCTATAGGTTATAGCTGATGTATAAGCTATAGCTGCTGTATAAGTTAAAGCTGCTGTATTAGTTATAGCTGCTGTATAATTTATAGCTGTTGTAAAAGTTAAAGCTGCGGTGGAATTATAGTTGCTTTATATGTTGTAGATTTTGAACTAATAACTCCTTGTCTAATTTATAGCTGCTGTACCTTTTACAGTTGTTGTAGAAGTCGATGTTTATAAGTAAGTTATATCTGCTGTGACGGCTGTAACTGCTGCAAACACAGTCACTGTATAAGTCAAGTTACTTTCAAGTTATTCATGCCGAGTTACAGTCATGCCAAGCTACAGTCATGCCAAGTTACAGTCATGCCAAGTTACAGTCATGCCAAGTTGCAGTCATGCCAAGTTACAGTCATGCCAAGTTACAGTCATGCCAAGTTACAGTACATAAATGTATTGTAACCAAATTTTATTATCACATTTTATTTCTTCGTTACTCCCCTCCCCCACAGGGGGCCTCGCTCCCCTCGTGATCGGCGGGGGGAGCGGGATGACGGAGAGAGGGGGTGAGGGGATCGAGGCCATGGAGCTCACCCCCACCTCCCCCAACTACCCCTCACCCCCCATCGACACCCCAGCCCCCGTCATATTCTTCTTAGGTTCGTAAAGACGTCATGAATATAATGTATATTTTTCATAATATTTTCGGCTATTTCATATATTTTCATCATATAAAGTACGTATTTATTTCGGCTTGGCGAAATATATTGAAATAGGGTATTTCAATTGGTAGATAGGAGTTTAGTTTCAAAGACGCACAACATTTCTTTTCAGAATTTGAAGCGAGAGTCAATGGTGTTTATGTTCTATGTAAAATGTTGTTTCAAACAGATCTGTATTTAATTAACATTCATGAACTGAATACATGTAACAGTATTCTGGATTACCTAGCAGCACGAATACTGGATGTGCTATAGAAGATTTATTATTAAAATTCATCTATTAGATATTATTGAAGTATATCTATTTATCTGTATAGATTTATGTGATTTATCTTTATTTTATATTGCTGTAGGTGGCCCCGGCAGCGGCAAGACGACCTACGCACAGAATCTGGCGGACATACACGACAGATACCGACATGTTAACATGACTCTGGTGATCACGCAGCATGTCAGGGAGAATGGTGAGCATGACATGTTAACATGACTCTGGTGATCACGCAGCATGTCAGGGAGAATGGTGAGCATGACATGTTAACATGTTAACGTTTCATGCTTACATGTTAAATACTCGCGCGTATGTATGGTGAATGACATGTTTGTTTAATGCCAATACGTGCGTGAATCTTGTGAGTCATATTGACTCACCCCTCATGTATACCTTAAACATCCCTCATTGTTGCCCTCGAATTACCCTCGTATGGCCACATTAGCCCTCTACTGTACATTTATGGTACGTTTTGTTAATTCCTTCGATGTGAGCAAATAAATATATTCTCCATGTCTCTTCACTGCACTGAAGGTTTTAGTATTGAATTAACCTGATTCGCTGGGGCATAATTATTTCATGAAAGATTTTGTTTGTTTGAGTGTTGTCGTCGTATTTGCGCTGCACTAACTGTAACTTATATTTATGTGTGTCAATGTTCCATTTTAATCCACTAATCCTCTCTTTCCGCAATTACTAATTAGTACCATAATATTCCCGATATATGACAACTCTGATTATCTCGGTCGCGCTAAAAATAGGCCTTCTTTTCAATTAAGCTGTATGAAAAGGTAACTCCCAAGCCTATATGCCTTCCTATTGAGATATTTTTAAACAGATGCATCTTCTGGTCTTAGGTATACTATATCTTAGTGATTTAGCTATAATATATAGGCCTCGTTTGTGCTGCAGCGCCTGATTGGTTGCCTCACTAAAAAAGTAATGTTTTACCCCACAAACTAAAAAAGTAATGTTTCCTCCTTAAAAGCGATATATGGTGGAGTGCGCAACACAAGTTCCATTCTTCATATTCTTGAGGAAGTTTATAGTTTAGTTTGACTGTATTCTAGACTGTAGTTTATTCTAATGCATATTTAAGGATGGCGGAGTAAGTGAAGTAGTTCACGAACAGCCTTCACGAAATGAAGGCCTGAAATCCTTGCACCCGAGGTCGTGGCGTGCCCGCTGCCCCCGATGCGATCAAGTTTTAATAATTTATCTACAGACTTTTTACTCGTAATTATCGAGCCACGACCAAATTAGAAGCGCTATGAAATCAATGTGCTTTTTTCTACGTGCAACATACGTACTCATTAACTCGCGTCTTTTTGCGAGATCTTGATTACAATTCGAGACTGCTGAAGTTCCCAAGAACGACGATCGCCGTTAAAAAAAATTTCTATGTAACCTAGGTATTTTCTTCTCAATTCATGATGCGAAAAGCGTCATTTATTCATGTATTTGTTGATTTATAAAAAAAAAACTCGTTAGAAACTCAGACACATCACCCATCCCCCCCCTCCCAAATGCTGCCCCACCCCCCCGCCATCGCCGCAGTCGAGATCATCGAGAAGCACAGTCAGTGCGACGTCCGCCTGTTGCGCTCGCCTGTGCAGCGACAGCTGCTGCAAGTGTCCAGCTGCTGCTGCAGCTTGCTGCACGCTTCTTGTTACTGATCCTGCTTATTACTACTGATTACTTGTTGCTAATCGTGCTTAATACTGATATTAGTTGCTATTGCTCTTACTTATTACTGCTGTTAGTTGCTACTAATCGAGCTTATTACTGCCTTTATTTACTACTCTTCGTGCTTGTTACTACCGTTACTTGCTACTAATCGTGCTTAAGTGTTATTGGCCTTATTTGCTACTGGCATTAGTTATACTAGTCGTCTTAAATATTACTGCCGTTAGTTGCCACTGCTGTTAGTTGTTATCGTGCTAGCTTATTACTGCTGTTGAGTGCTACTGCCCTCGCTTATTACTGCCGTTAGTTGCTGCTTGTTTACTCATTGCCACAGCTATTACTGATCGTTACTTACTGTCATTTACTGCTGCTTCTTGTTGCTACTTACTGCTTACTAATGCTGTTATTCCTTAGAGCTTTCTCTAGACTGCTGCTACTGCCCTGACTGCTATTTACTGCTCTATAGCTGACTGGTCAATCTATATGCCTACTTCAATTGTATAGACATACGTGGTTCCTGAAGGCCTGCTTTATTTATGTAGGCCTACTTTGATTCCATACGCCCACTTTAATACTAAAGGCTTACTTTAATTCTATAAGCCTTCTGTAGTTCTATAGGCTCGTTTTAATTTAAAAATATCGGTAAATTTAAAAGCCTACCTCATTTCTATAGGCCTATTTCCTCGCATTCCATTTTTGCAGGCTGAAATTGAAAGCTTTTATAGCGCTAGTATTTGTCATCGCATTAGAAAATTTCCATTCAGTTGCTTTGCTAGCGAATGTTTTGTGCTTAACTAGATGGAATTTTTCTTGCTTGTCTGGACAATATTAGAATATTTTGTAGCGTCTGAAAAATTGATCACTTTAATCTACTTTACCTCACTCCAATGTTGAAGATAATTTACTGGATGAACTGTTTGAGGATTATCCTGATAATTTGAAAGTATGGAACCGGTTCCGCGTAAATAGCCCTAGTCAACCCAATTCACTAAACAGTATCGTGAATCTGGTTGATAACAAAATTTTTCCGTTCGCTAAGTCTCACCCAAATTCTTTCAATTCCGCTTATAAGAACCAACAGTCAGTAGCTCGGCTCAGTAAAATGAACAGTCAGCAACTCTGCCTATAAGAATAAAAAATCAGTAACTCCGCTTATAAGAATAAAAAATCAGTAACTCCGCTTATAAGAATCAAAATTCAGTAACTCCGCTTATAAGAATTAAAAGTCTGTAACTCCGCTTATAAAAATCAGAAGTCAGTAACTCCGAAATTCGAATTAAAAAAAGCAAAATTCAGTATCGAAAAAAAATTCTATAGAACCCCGCTTATATTTCTTCTGATACGGTAATCAAAATCAGCATATAAGGCCCTCGATAGAAGATGTTTTAAAGCCTCCACCTCATTATGTTGAAGACCCCCCGCCTCCCCAGGACTGGGCCCCCCCGAGCACGTGCCGCCCCCACCACATTATGTTAAAGACCCCCCGTCCCCCCAGGACTGGGCCCCCCCGAGCACGTGCCGCCCCCCATCGCGCTGGCCCTGCTGGCGCGGGAGCTGCACGCCGCCCCCCGCACCGCTGCCTTCCTTGTCACGGGATACCCGCGCACCCTTGACGACCTCGACACCTACGTCGAGAAGGTGGGGGGAGTCACGGGTTGTAGTTACCCTCACATGTCACGGGCTTGTAGTTCCCCTCATAAATCACGGGCTTGTAGTTACCCTCATATGTCACGGGCTTGTAGTTCCCCTCATAAATCACGGGCTTGTAGTTACCCTCATATGTCACGGGCTTGTAGTTACCCTCACATGTCACGGGCTTGTAGTTACCCTCACATGTCACGGGCGTGTAGTTACCCTCACATTTCACGGGCTTTTAGTCTCACCCCCCACATCGATTTCTTTATTCAATCGAGCTCGCTCCTAAAATGCTTTTACTTATACTTTTTTATTTAATGGGTTTTTATTTCGATTAACTTTAAGTCTATTTTTATAATGCACTTTTGAAACGTTCAGGCACTGAAGTACTATACATTTTTTCTCATATATAGTGTGCATCTGTACTTCCATGTGCAACTAATAGTTAATTCTATTAAATCGATAGATTATTTATTCTATCATTATATTCTATTAAATCGATTGATTATTAATGCAAAATGTTGCCGGGGCCAGGGAGTATGTATTATTATGTTTTTTATGGGGAAGGGATGGGAAGATTCATTTATATAGAAAGATATCAGGAGTGATATTATCAAGTGTTTCGTGACATCGATATTGTCTTTTATTGCGTGATAAAAATAACGCAATATTGCACGATACGTTTATACGTTAGCTGCAGCAGCAAAAACTCAACTTCATGTGTGTTCAGTTTTCGGTCAATTAACTTATTCAGTAACGACTAAATTCTCATCCCTGAAATATTACAGCCAATACTTACTAACTTGTCGTTAATGCTCGACAAACCATGGCCATCTGCACTGCATGAGATGTTGCCTATAATTATCTTAGTTTGTCCCGGTGTACTTCTTTGCCATTCGCACTTCCAAAAACCATAGGAATGAACCCTGACCATCACATTAATACTTTATTTAACAGATTATATAACCGATGCCAATATAAGAGCACCGCGCATCTGGGGGAACTCTTATTGGTAAGGAGTAGAGGAGGAGGAAAAGTTGGGGGTTGGGGTGAACTCAAAGGTTGGTAACAAAATTATTTAATTTTGTTAATATACCAGAGTGACTCGTAATAATAATGTGCTGTTTATTTTTCATTTTTTTCATGGCAGCTGGGCAGGCCAGCTGGTGCTGTGCTCATCGAGTGGGACCGCCTGGCGCTCGTCCGCAATATTGAGGTGACCAGCTGTGACCAGTTGTGACCAGCTGTGACCAGCTGTGACCAGCTGTGGCCAGCTGTGACCAGCTGTGACCAGCTGTGGCCAAATGTATCAGCGTTTTTTTCAGCTGTAACAGTCTGATCTCTGTTGTGTCCATGCTTATGCAGCAGTGACCAGCAATCATCAGCTAGGAAATTCGGCTACCATCTGCTCTAAAATTATGTTTATGATATATTATGAGATGATAGAGCATGAGATGATGTATTAGGAGATTACGTATCTTGAGATGATATATTATGAGATGATATATAGCTCTTACGTAATGATATTCTCGTATGATGATTCAGTTCCCGCTGACTCCCACGAATGGTAAAGTGATGGTTATGAACCACTGGCAGTTGACGTTATTTATTGTCTTGTGAAGAGTTGATTGAAATACTAAAAACTTTAAAAAATGTCTAGTGCCCGAACCCTAGTACAGCGTCTGGGCCCGTAGCCCATGCCGTGGACGGGCCAGATTGTCCCACTCTTAAGTCCCCGTGCCATCAGCTGGGCCACGTGGAGGGCGCCATATTACTGGACTACGACCAGCCCAGGACCAGTCGTCCCAGAACCGCGACCAGCAGAGGTAACTCAGCTGGGCTACACGGGGGGCTGCACGGGGGGCTGCAGGCCGAGGACCCCGCAACACGCGCCGTGGCGGAGGCGGCAAGGAAGGAACTCGCCGACTTCCAGGCCAGAGTCATGCCGCTGTGCGACGCTCTCGACAACATGGGCGTGTTGTACGTGGTGGGTGTTGCGGGTGTTGTGGGTGTTGCTCTGCGTGTTGTACGTGGTGGGTGTTGCGGGTGTTGCTCTGCGTGTTGTACGTGGTGGGTGTTGCGGGTGTTGCTCTACGTGTTGTACGTGGTGGGTGTTGCGGGTGTTTCTCTGCGTGTTGTACGTGGTGGGTGTTGCGGGTGTTTCTCTGCGTGATATTTGTGTTGCTCTGCGTGATATTTGTGTTGGTGGTGCTACAGCTAGTGTTGCACGTGTTGCCGTAGAGGCTGCAGGAACAGTGTCGCGTCCAGTACGCGTGCGACATATACTTTTAGTTTGTAGCCTTACGACGCGAAGCTGTATTCTGGGTCGCAGCCTCCTGCCATTCATTACAGTTTTGATGTTCCTAGGAGTTGAGCTTCCGCTGAATTAATCTTTAGGTCAATTTGCTATAATTGTCATATTGTCTTGTTCATATTATAGTCGTTAGTTTATAGTTATCCAGTGTGAAGTAAAATCCTTTTCTTTCTTTTGGCAGAGTAAAGTAAACTTGAATTCCCGTTGACAATTTTGAATTTAAAGACTATAGGGCACAAGCCATCCACGTAAGTTCTAGTGATCTGTACATGTTACCATTTTCATAATTATTTTAGCCAGAAGATGTGCGATAGTGAGATATTGGTTTATTAATACCCATGTATATATGTACTTGGTCTAAATCTTCAATTTGTATATTCATTTGTTCTGATGTGCGGAATCTTCTTCTACAGTTTTACAAGAAGAATAAGAAACCCAGAATGACTACTTTTTCCCTATCGTTCTTTCTGCCAGCTTGATGAGGTGGCCATTTGAAATTTACAAAACAGATCTTCAAGCTTGCGTTACAGGTGTTGGCGCAGCAGCCGTAGAGGCAAGTCTTCCAGCTCGTGTTGCTCGTGTTGCAAGTGTTGCAGGTGTCAGGTCAGAGACCACAGGAGCAGGTGTTGCAGATGTTGCAGGTGTTGCTCGTGTTGCAGGTGTCAGGTCAGAGGTCACAGGAGCAGGTGTTGCTCGTGTTGCAGGTGTCAGGTCAGAGGTCACAGGAGCAGGTGTTCAAGGACGTGCAGAAATGCCACGACCACATCATCAGGGCCGTCATCCTGCAGCCTGCGCTCCTCAGCGATGACAGCAAAGGTCAAACTAATTACCATTATTGCTTGCTCGGCGTAACTCGTTTAATTATTTAAGGTGTTACGATTTTAGGTATTACCACCGTTACTCATTTGATTATTGTGAACGTGAACTATTGCTCCTCTACTTTATCAGTGAATAAAAGATACTTGAATCTTTGGAGCATTTACCGTAGATTTCTTCGCGTAGTGTATATAAAGAAAACGTGTTTTCAGCGGCAACTTCTTTATAATTCATATTGCCTGTGGTAACTAGTGAGTAAATCCGTGACATAAATCAATGACGCCATGCTTGTTGTATCGTTCTAATCAATTAATATGTGCGTTAATAAGCCAGTATTATAAGTGAATAATGCAAAAAAGAATTTTCTGCTCTTATATTGTTTATTTCCAATGTTAACGTATTTTTTAAATCTGATATTCATATTGTGACATTTATAACATCCGCTTTTTAAACGGTACTTTCTCCAATGTTTGCCCATTTAAATGTTAAATTCACGATTTTACGAGAAATATCCTTCCTATTTCCATAGGCTGAATTTCACTAGGCATTTTCGGCGCATGACATTCATAATTCGATAAGAAATTCGGTCACGCAACCTTATTAGTAATTACTTAATTTAAGTCACATTGATTAAGTACATATTGAGTTAATCCAGTGTTAATCTATGTAATAATCGACTATTATCAATAAATAATTATTGAATCCCCCCCCCCGCCAGGCTCGTACCGAGAGTACCGCCGCGAGGTTCCCTTCGCCGCCGCCCACCACTTCACCTTCTCCGCCACCGGCGTGCGCTCCAAGAACGCCAAGCACAAACTCCTGCCCCCCATGCTCTTCGTCCTGGGTCAGTAGGGGGGCTGCCCCCCCATGCTCTTCGTCCTGGGTCAGTAGGGGGGCTGCCCCCCCCCAATATATTAACATTCATAATCCAACACAGCTAATTTCTTAACAATCAAGTAGCGAATATATCCAAGTACCCGACCCCCAAAAGAAGTACCATTGAATAAGTGTCTCGTACCCCTGCAGGAGGCCCAGGTTCCAACAAGGGGGCGCTGGTACGCGACATCATGTACCTGTACCCCGGGTGGTCCCACATCGTCGTGGGGGAACTTCTGCGGGAGATCGTGGGGGAGGTGAACGACGGGGCGCTCCCCCAGGACATCACCCAGGAGCAGGTGGCCATGGTGGCTGACCTCATGGCCAAGGGGGAGCTCATCAACCAGGTGGGTCATCAACCAGGTGGGTCATCAACCAGGTGGGTCATCAACCAGGTAGGTCATCAACCAGGTGGGTCATCATCAACCAGGTGGGTCTTCAACCAGGTGGATCATCAACCAGGTAGGTCATCATCAACCAGGTGGGTCATCAACCAGGTGGGTCATCAACCAGGTGGGTCATCAACCAGGCGGGTCATCATCAACCAGGTGGGTCATCAACCAGGTGGGTCACACCACTATCACCATCACTCTACATCACCAAGCACCGTAATGATAAGAAATAGTGCCACTATCACCATTACTCTACATTATCAAGCACCGTAATAATGAGTAATGGTGCCACTATCACCATTACTCACCATCACCAAGCACCGTAATGACGAGTAATGATGTCACCATCACCCCCAGGACCTGACGCTGCAGGTGCTGGAGCGCAAGGTGCTGCAGCTCTCAGCCTCGGAGGGGATTGTGGTGGTGGGCTTCCCCAGGGACGTCATCCAAGCCCAGACCTTCGAGGAGAAGGTAGGGGAGTGGGTTGGGGAAGAGATCTATATAAATTGGGCTTACTTGAGTGAAGGCTGGGTGAAGGGGAGGAAGCTTATGTAGGTTTTAATGGATATTCCGTGTCTCTTTTGGTATCATTTCTTGTGATTTTTGGGGACATGTTACACTCAAAACCTCAAACTTATATTGAAATCTTATTGCAACGCCACATTCCTGAAGTAATTCGGCATTGCGGGCATTTTTACTGCAGCACTTCCGCTTTAGTTCGGTAAAGGCTGAACGAATCTCGAACGTATGTTGAAATAATATATTATTTTAGGGTCACTTGCCTGCATTTGTTATGCGAGAACGTTACGAATCACGAAAGTATACTGAAATCCTATTTTATTGCAACATTCATGAAATAGTTTGAATATTGCAAGCACATTTTAACACCATATATCTGAGTTTGTTTGGCCAGTATACATGAAATCATTAATTATTTTAATGCAATATATGTGCGTTAGTTCGGCCAGGTGCCCGTGCTAATCCTGATCGACTGCTCGGAGCTGGAGTTGGGCCGCAGCCTCGGGCGGCGCGAGGCTCGTCTCGACGACAACGTCAACGGCGCCCACCGCCGCCTGGCGCTCTACAGGAAGGTTACCCTGCCCATGCTCAGGGCCTTCGACGAGAAGAACAGGCTTAGGATCGTGAGTAATGGGCTGCCCATGCTCAGGGCCTTCGACGAGAAGAACAGAGCTGCCCATGCTCAGGGCCTTCGATGAGAAGAACAGGCTTAGGATCGTGAGTAATGCGCTGCCCATGCTCAGGGCCTTCGATGAGAAGAACAGGCTTAGGATCGTGAGTGTGAAGGGAGGGGTTCTCAGGAGTCAGCGAGTGTGTAGGGGTTAGGGTCTGATCATGGTGAGGGTCCTTATTTTTATTGGGGTCAATAAACCAGTGCCCTTTTGTGTTCTCTTGGCTCCATGGGCTGCGCAGTCTTGAGCCAGATATTCAACTCTTTAACCTGCGCTTGAACGCCCGGCCTCAGCACGAAACACTACGCCTCATGGCCTCATCTACGCAGGCACTCTGCAACTCCACTGTTCTCCAGCTAAAAACACTGGGTTTGGGTTAAGTATCGGAATAAATGTAGAGATAGGGCCATTTGTATATTTATTTATAAAGTGAGGCACGTTAAAGCAGTGGCTGTGGATTTACGGCGTTATTGCTTTAAACCTTTAACTTGGTAGGCCATCGCTCCCTCTGGCGGGAAGATCCACGGCAAGAAACATGAAGTGAAGTTTTCTTGGGAAGCTAAATAATATGTTATGGTTGCCATCGTTTACTGGATACAGAACGTATTAGGTTTTTGTGACGAAGTAAAAGGTTTTTTAACTTGTTATATGAAGGAAAGGTACCTGAATTTTTTCTGCTCTAAACTTTTAATTAATTTAATATGAAAGTTGAGTTTCTAAATGCTAAATGGTGTTTCTCAGATCGACGGTGACGCCGACGAGGAGCAAGTGGCGCGGGACCTGAAACGGGCCATTTACGTCGAGACGCAACGGCTGACGGGCCGTTACGAGAACATGAGGTAACTCGAGTGACGTCACAATGCGCACGTCGAGACCCCGCATGCGCGGCACCTCTCCTTACAGCGCATGCGCGGCACCCATGAGCGCGACACGCCCACCTACTCCGCATGCCCGAAACCCTCTCGGACACACATTATAATCAGTGCATGTGCACGAATATTTGACTTCTCATTTGTACATCTGTGCACAAGCGGTCTGTTAGGCTCCTGCGCACAACCACCTGTGATGGTCAATTATCTGTTGGTCAACCATCTGTTGGTCTACCATGTGTTGGTCAACCATCTGTTGGTCTACCATATGTTGGTCAACCATCTGTTTGAACATTGGTATTCCAGTGAACGTTCGACAACCTTTACTTGGTCATCGATAAACCTGCTTAAATTTCACCTCAGCTGCGGCGAGTTGAAAAGCCCGGCTGTATCATCACTGTTATTTATTGCTGTTATTGTGTTCTATGTTCGTTTTGCACGAATATTTGTTAAAGTGTGCGATTATTGCATGTAACTCAAGTCTAGTAGATTGGTTGTTATTAAGTTCCACTGTTTTGTATTACTTAAGAGGTATTTTATAAGTTGACAATGGAACGTTTTAAGAACGTGTCCGTGAGAAAACAATCTAAAGCAATACTTTTTAGAGCGATCACTGAGCTATTAAGTTTTGAGTGGCCTTGAAAATCCTGTATTATGTGGACAAAATATCCCTCTCCCGATCTTGTATAATGTATGGTGAAATGGTGATGGAATGACGCTTTTTATACACGACAAAATGATGAATGAAGAAAATGAAAAGGTCCCGGTGAAGGGACGTCCTCAGATCTTGCACTAGCCCGGAAGCTGTACTATCACAGTGAAAGAAGAATCTTTTACATTCAAATGAATGCATGTACATAGTGTAACGTGTAAACATAATCCAATATTCTATTTCAGTATTTATCTTAATTGTTTTAGAAAGCCCGTTAGAAATTTCATGCTTGATTACGGAAAATCTCGCATCACTAATCTTCTTAACCTGCATAATCTCTTCCCATTTATGCATTTTCTTACCGAATGACGAAATGCAAGAGTCAAAGGCCAACTTTTTACTGGTACTTCAGAACATGTGTTTTCTAAGTCACGTATTTACCTCCAAAAATTGACATTTTAGTTATGTTTGCTTCGTCTAAAGCTACGCGGCCATCTTCTACCGTCTTGAATTCAATTGTAATAGGTATACCGGTGAAATGTTTGTACAAATTTGCAGTAGTTAAGTTATACTGATTTTTTATATTGTTTTGAAGCCTCTGCCCCACGACGTTATATTAAGATCGTATATTTACTACCTTTATTCCGGCATATTAATTCATTTCTTATATAATTCAAGTTTTTATTTTTCTGTATATTTCTTTAATCAATAAGTGGGCAACTCCAAGCGTTTCGGTGCTGCCGACTTAACTCACTTACGTTCCGTGACCCACTTTATCCCTTAACTTGTTCTACTATTATTCACATTAATGAATCATCTAGACTCATTGTTATGGGAGATAAACTCATAGTTGTGATACCCAAAAATGTATTCTTCGTGAATTTTAGCGTAGCATCGCTGCTCTTGGTTTCTTCTTTTGAAGAGGCAGCTTGCATACTACGTAAATTTCATCCTCAAATAAGAGCGTTATTCTAATTTACGAATGCTATTATCAATTCGTGAAGTCATTACCTAAACTTCCTATGTAAAAACTCGCTTGTTTTTTCTCCCCTCGTCGCATGTAACCAAATGTAATTAATTATCTTATCAATCTTACTATCTGTTATCTTTTTATTGCTTATAGATCGCTTTATTGAATCATCTGCTCCATTTAAACTTGAATTATTCTTCTTAGCTTATTGACGGCTGCACTGATGGACAAAGAGAAGAATATGGAGGATAAAGACTCGTTGGCAACTCTGGACAGTGTTGCCAACAGCCCACGCTGAAAACAATCAGCGGGCACCCGCCTCGCTGCCCACAACTCACCCGCTTATTTCCCATCTTAGTCGCTAAATCTTATTATCTTTGTCAATCTTCTGCACCGCATGACTTTAATTCCTTTTAATTAAATATTTTATGATTGCCATAATCGCAACTCTGACGAAGATTGCAAATCCTACGATGAGTGTTAATATATTTAATGATGTGCTAGATATGTACAAATGTGTGTGTGTATGTCGATATAAATGTATGGATGTGTAGTGCATGTGAATATAAATGTATGGGCGCGTAGTGTATGTGAATATAAATGTATGTATGTGTAGTGTATGTGAATATAAATGTATGGATATGTAGTGTATGTCAATATAAATGTATGGATATGTTGTGTATGTAAATATAAATTTATGGATGTATATTCCTGCAATTTTTGGATCTAGAAAATTTTCTTTGTGATTTGTCGAGCACCGCAATTCCGGTGTCGAATTTGCTAGAATTTGTGATGCATTTTTAATTAATGTGCACATTAATTCCGGGACGTGCCAATTTTGTCGTTTTTGTGTTATAATTGAATATTAATATCGTTTTGTTATTGTGTGATGAGGGATTTATTTAACGTTGTGTCATTGTGTCTTGTGGGATTTTTTAACGTTTTGTTATTGTGTGATGCGGGATTTTTCTTAACGTTTTGTTATTGTGTTGTGTGGAATTTATTAAACGTTTTGTTATTGTGTGATGAGGGATTTTTTAATGTTTTCTTATTGTGTGATGTGGGATTTTTTTGCCGTTTTGTTATTGTGTGATGTGGGATTTTTTTGCCGTTTTGTTATTGTATGGTGTATCCACGACTTTTATTCATTATTCGTTCAGTAACCCCCTCCCCATCACCCCCCTCTCCCACTCCTCCCCCGCAACCCCAGAAAAAAGCAGCGGGAAGAAGCCGCCGCCGCCGCCGCTCTCCTCAACGGCGAATTCTGCCAGGATTTTTCAGATGTGGACCCGCACGTGGCGGGCGGCGGGTCGCCCGCCACCCGCCGCCACGATTCCTGGGCACAAAAAAGCAATCGTCGCCACAGTCGCGACGATGCAAGCGACGATGGCGACTCGCTGCCTGGCGAGTTTGATGACGATTGCGACATCAAAGAGTTCGCGTCTGACTAGGGGTGATTGGCGGTGATGAACGGTGATTGGCGGTGATTGTTGGTGGGCTTTGATTGGCCAGTTAATCTCGTAATTCTATCACGCGTCGTCACCAAACAGACCAGCGAGTTCGAGTAAGTGCGAGTTGAAGGTAATGTTAAATTGCAATCTTATACCAATTCGTGTCGATATAATTTTATTATGTCTTTCTTATAGACAATTTCTATTTACATGTAAGCAATATTTCCTCCATTTACTTGTCATATTAAAGCTTATTGCTTCGCTGAAGCTTACGTCGCTCTTTATTTCTTTGTTCATTAATGTTCATGTAACGTTCATATCATTAATGTTCATATATCAATGATTTTGTTTATGTTTTTCACGTCATTAATGTTCTTAAAATAATAATTGATTATTTGTTCATGATCACCCATGTTAACATTGCATGGACATGTTCAATGTGACTCACTTCCGTCCCATGACTCACTTCTGTCCTATGACTCACTTCTGTCCCATGACTCACTTAGAACTGTCCCATGACTCACTTCTGTCCTATGACACACTTCAGTCCCATGACACACTTCCGTCCCATGACACACTTCTGTCCCATGACACACTTCCGTCCCATGACTCACTTCTGTCCCATGACACACTTCCGTCCCATGACTCACTTCTGTCCTATGACACACTTCAGTCCCATGACACACTTCAGTCCCATGACACACTTCTGTCCCATGACACACTTCTGTCCTATGACACACTTCCGTCCCATGACTGACTTCCGTCCCATGACTCACTTCCGTCCCATGACTCACTTCTGTCCCATGACACACTTCCGTCCCATGACACACTTCTGTTCCATGACACACTTCTGTCCCATGACACACTTCTGTCCCATGACACACTTCCGCCCCATGACACACTTCCGCCCCATGACACTCTTCTGTCCCATGACACACTTCCGTCCCATTACACACTTCCGTTCCTTGACTCACTTCCGTCCCATGACACACTTCCGTCCCATAACACACTTCCGTCCCATGACACACTTCCGTCCCATGACACACTTCCGTCCCATGACACACTTCCGTCCCATGACACACTTCCGTTCCTTGACTCACTTCCGTCCCATGACACACTTCCGTCCCATGACACACTTCTGTCCCATGACACACTTCTGTCCCATGACACATTTCTGTCCCATGACACATTTCCGTTCAATAGCTGGTAATACTTTCAAATGGAAGGCCCAATCATCATTGCCTATCATCAATCAACAAGCTACCTGCTCGCTACACTGCGCTATTTAAATATACTGTTGAAGAAGTACCATGTTAATTAAGATATGTTCAATATTTTATCTATTCCATCTGTAAGTATATAAAGTTTATAGGTGGTGTAGCCCTCTGCGTTACGCATTCAAATTCTATAAAATTTCCGGACAGCCCAATAATACAGGACTGAATTTAATCATGAACTTTTATCCATTTCCTATTATTTCATGTTTATTTCTCACTTAATTAATATGATATTATCCAGGTTTTACTATATGATTACATAATTAGAGAAAATATAGTGCAATTCGCATGTTGGATCTGGTGTACATGTTCCGCAAGACTGCACATACAGTGAAAACCCAATGAACTTCTGTTGTAATTCCTACTTATCCCGTGCCCAGGCTTCCTTCGTTCCTACTTATCCCGTGCCCAGGCTTCCTTCATTCCTACTTATCCCGTGCCCAGGCTTCCTTCATTCCTACTTATCCCGTGCCCAGGCTTCCTTCATTCCTACTTAACCCGTGCCCAGGCTTCCTTCATTCCTACTTAACCCGTGCCCAGGCTTCCTTCGTTCCTACTTAACCCGTGCCCAGGCTTCCTTCGTTCCTACTTAACCCGTGCCCAGGCTTCCTTCATTCCTACTTAACCCGTGCCCAGGCTTCCTTCGTTCCTACTTAACCCGTGCCCGGGCTTAATTCTATATGTATCATTTGGGGAATTTCAATTGAGGGTAATTCCTCATCTTCCCCACGAGGGATTAGTGTGTTCCCCTCCGTGCCCAAGTGCCCTACCGCCCTCAGTGCCTTCACCGTAAATGGCATCATACATCGAAGTGTATGCAAACATAATTTGTATTCCAGAGGAATTGATATTTGGCTTGATTATACTTCGGTGTTGTCTACTTAATATTAGTTCTGTTCTATTGATGAAAAGTTATATGCTTTAAAAATAATTCAGAGCGAAATACCGATAAACATCCAAGTCGCTCTATTTTGCAAATGCAACTATTTTACATTTTTTGTATATTTTGCAAATGCAAAGACAACACTAAAATCATGTCATTGTTAGGCAATATGTTGCAGATAAAACCTGAGTCATTTCTAAAGTTATCATTTGGTGTGAGAGAAGCGTGGGTTCAAAGAAGCTTTTCAGCGTTTGTTTCTTCTGAAGCGAGCTTCACAGGACGTTCCTGAAATGCTTCACGTGGCTACCAACGAGGCGTCTCACGTTGAAATAAAGTTGATAATTAAACGATGTTTCTACAAAGTCAACTCGAAATCATTGTTGTTTCAACGTTTGGCCTGAGGGTATAAGGTGTATAATAGTCAGCCACGTGTATAATCTTGCCGAAATATATGTATCTTGAGAAAATGTGATGGTATTCGTCTCTCTAACGTGCACAATTCTGAAGTTGCATCTCTCCTATAAATATAGACGGTGAAAAATGGAAGTGATGTAATAAAATTAGAAATTTACGTGTGTTTACTTGCACAAAATGACGGCTCGGCAAAGTACAGTCCTGCTGATCTCGGGGCTCAGATGTGGGGTTCATTGTTGCCCCACTCACACGCTCACTCCACACTCACCCCTCCCGCCCCACACCACCCTAACGCCACACGCACCCCACACGCCAACCTCCCGCCCCACACCACCCTAACGCCACACTCGCCCCACACGCCATCCTCCCGCCCCACACCACCTTAACGCCACACTCACCCCCACACGCCAACCTCCCGCCACACTCACCCCACACGCCACCCTCCCGCCCCACACCACCCTAACGCCACACTCACCCTATACGCCACTCGACACCCGCCATCTACAGGTCAATTATTCAGCCAGGAAATAAAAACCGCTATACTCAAAGAGTGAAAAACTTTATTATACGCTACACCCGCGTACAAATACCCCCAGATATGGGTAGAACCAACGATCATCCCCAGTAGAGGGCTAAGACAACCCACTCAGCCCTTGCTTGAGTACCGCAACCCTTATTTAAACCCACGTCTAACATGTAAACCTTCCTAGCTTAATTATACCGTCAATAAAGTAATTAAGTTTATACGTCAGACGATAATACATGCTATGCCGCTTTGTGTTATGTGTTAACTACCTACGGCAAACAAATACCACCGGCAGTGACACACAGCTATACAGAGATTTGTATCGTTTTCTTATATATGCTTCACACACAGCTGTCTCAAGCGTGTAGGTGGTAAATCTCTCGTAAATTTCGTTCATAATTCTCAAAATATGAATTTCCTGAATTCAAATTACATTTTGAAATGAACGATGCGACGAAAAAAAGCCTTCTTCCCAACCATCACGAGAAATTCGACGCATGAATTACCTGGAATTCTCATGAATTAGGAATTTTCATGAACTGAATAATCGAGTTATTTTGCGGTGAGACGCAAAATGTTTACCCGGACAACATTTGGGCACGTAACATGCATGTTGAACAACACAAAATACATCCTAAACAACGCAACACACAACATGCATATTGCCCAATACAATTTACAAAATGCACCATGAACATGTCCAGATACATAAATGATTTATAATGAACAGCCGTCGGCCCAATATATCTGGCACCGCAACCTGACAAATGAAGCAAACCGCGTAAATATAAAATGAACCTGATCGCCGCATAACAAAGTGCAACTTGAATTGGTGCTGCGAGAAAATTAGTATGCAATGTGAAACTAATGGTAAGAGCAGACAATGGAAAATGAAAAATTCTGGTAACGAAACGTAATGGAAAGTGGGTATAATGGTAGCAATGGTCAAGGTGATGTGATGAAGCAGCACCAAAGCGCGTGGTGGTGGTATAACCAACGCCACGTAATAAAAAAATAAACTAACTACACGCTATAAATAACTAAACTAATTACACATTATAAATAACTAAACTAAGTAAAAGCTATAAATAACTACTACACACCATAAATATCTTTAAAGGCAGTGACAAGTCTCCTAGCTTAGACTAGACACAAAAATAATGCGAAGGCAATTTATTAGCGCCTGTACTGACGAAGGCAATCAAGTCATGTGGCCAGAGTGACAGATAATCCTCGTCGTTGCAGTACACAATATACAATTAAGCAGAACAATTCACACGTCATTAACACATCATACATGTGTAGCGCCACACAAGGCCACGCTTCTGCTGGATGTTTGTGATGAACGTCGTCCACGCGAGGCTACGTTGGCGTCCCACGTGGCACACGTGACATTGACAGGCACGTCTTGAGCTACTGGATTAGTGGAAGCGCCACTAGGTGACTAATGCAGCTACTAGTCGCCTGTTGGGATCAGCCACTAGGTGACTAATGCAGCTACTAGTCGCCTGTTGGGATCAGCCACTAGGTGACTAATGCAGCTACTAGTCGCCTGTTGAGACCAGCCACTAGGTAACGGCCTACGGAAGCGAGTCATAACAGCACCGCCACTGGGCATGGATGGCAGCGTCAAATTACTGATAGCTACCTAATTACTGCTGGGTGATCATACAAGGCTATTGTTAATTCATCATGAACAAGCACAAACAATCCTAGATGATGCAACACACGCATTCGACCTAACGAACGTTGCAAAGTAAATTAAGCTAACGTCGACGAATAATCTAGAACTATTGACGACGAAAAACTTAAGATTTGATATTATTTTGAAGCCGCCCGAAGAGAGGAGCTTGGTTGGGGTTAAGGAGTTGGGTTAATTAGGGACAGGATGCACTGAGAGGAATCAGGGACCCAGGTCTGCGGGGCGGCAGGTCCAGAGAAGTGGAAGTTACAAAAGCTTAACTGTGTACCTGATGCAGAAACAACAAAATGGAATAGCATCTGCACACATCCTTCCGCGAGGGCTTTGATGTTGTGATGCGCATTTCGCAGATAGATACCTCATACCAGCCGTAGGTGTCAAGGTGGATCCCCCTGCCACCAGAGATGTAGAAACATCTACAAGATGTAGAAACACAGAACCAAAGCCACCTTCGAGTGGTTGCAACCTTCCCCAGAGACGGCAGTCATCACTGACTGTCAAGTCGAGTTGTATGAAACATAAAATAAATATACGATGATGACCTGCAACCAAACACTTGTTGAACAATGGACGCTACAACGCGTCCATTTACAACTTACGTTGCAGGTGTAAGGTTATCAAAGCAATTATGTTTAACAACACAAGCGAGAATGTAGTTATTTGTGACACGCGGGACCACCAACACCAATAACACCATTTATGGTCACTTAACCACGACCACCAGCAACCGGCGCCATCATCACTCGTTCAATCAGAGGTGATAGCTCGCCCCTCCCCATCACTCGTTGAGCCAAGGGTGATGTACATCACTCGTTGAGCCAGGGGTGATGTACATCACTCGTTGAGCCAGGGGTGATGTACATCACTCGTTGAGCCAGAGGTGATGTACATCACTCGTTGAGCCAGAGGTGATGTACATCACTCGTTGAGCCAGGGGTGATGTACATCACTCGTTGAGCCAGGGGTGATGTACATCACTCGTTGAGCCAGGGGTGATGTACATCACTCGTTGAGCCAGGGGTGATGTACATCACTCGTTGAGCCAGGGGTGATGTACATCACTCGTTGAGCCAGGGGTGATGTACATCACTCGTTGAGCCAGGGGTGATGTACATCACTCGTTGAGCCAGGGGTGATGTACATCACTCGTTGAGCCAGGGGTGATGTACATCACTCGTTGAGCCAGGGGTGATGTACATCACTCGTTGAGCCAGGGGTGATGTACATCACTCGTTGAGCCAGAGGTGATGTACATCACTCGTTGAGCCAG